CTCAGCAAACCTCTTCTGTATGGTTCCATTCTAAGGGGGCTCAGAAGTCTGATAGATCATCATAGCATCCTACTTAATTACATGAGCTTCCATTATAATTGCTTACAATTTGTGGAACTTGCAAGATGATGCAGTTGATAAAAAAATGTAAGGCAGGAAACTGTTACAAACACACACTAATGCACATCAAAAACCTCCTGCCCATTTCAAGAAAAGGGAGTGATAAATTGAAAGGATGGAGGCACCTGAAGTAGGAAGGGATGACAAGAGTTTTAATCTCCACCCTTCCCTCAGCAAGTTATTAATTTCTACCCATTCTACAATGATTCTGGAATCCAGTGTGCATTTTGGAAGTCATGTTTATTCTGAGGTCCTGAACAAGAAATTAGTTTGGAACAGGAAACAGGACAGTTATTATAAGATAAGCGGTAATCAGGAAAAGGAAGAGGAGGAGGAAAAGTGGAGGGACAGATTTTCTACACTGATTCAAAATGTATTAGAGACAAGGGGACAACAATTTAGGGGGAAGGCAATGAGGAAGAACATAGGAAGGAACAAGAAGTATTTTGTGTAGTTGGAAAGATAGGAATGGAACTGAGACAAACAACAGCATGATTAATTAGTGCAGTCAAGGTTCAGCAGTAGAAGCCGAGAGGGTGTCATAGACCATGCAAAAGTTCTTAGAAGACTACATTGTCCTGTTTGTAGGGAATTGTGTACATATGATGTTGAGATCCCAAGTGGAGTTGGCCACCTCTTTTAGTCGACTCCAGATATGATGTTATTGTCTTGAGACCTGTGGTTCTGGAACCATATGCAAGAGCACTCACAGATGGAAGTCAAGAAAATCAAGATGATGGCTTTCATCTGCAATACACATAAAAAGGGGGAGAGGCTACCATTTTGTCTTTTTGACTTCTCCCTCAGATATTCCTTCATTTAACAGTGTTTTCAGTTTCATTGCATCTCTGTAAACATGCCTGTAGTGATATGTGCATTAAAGCTTATATTCAGATCCCTGCATATAGGTGCTGAATTTCAGTGTTCCTGTTTCTACTCCATCCTTTTAAGTTATATGTGGGACCCATTCTGGGGTGCTACTCAGCTTTCCATTGATCCATTTATTTTTTCTCTTGTCACATTTACCATAGTACCTAGTAATGATGCTGAAAATTGAGATTAATTTTCCTGAGTTAGATATTGATACAAAGAATAGAGAAATTTTAATTGGTGGTACTTATTCTGTGATTATGCTAAATGCCTCCCCCCCTTTTTTTTGGATACCAGAGGATTGATTGCATCCAAAAGAAACAAATGCCTTTGTTTCCTGTTAGTTTCACTATGGAATCAAGGTACTTCTTGCTGACCACAGACTAATGTTGTAAATGCTGCAAAATAACACAATTCCACCTTTGTGTAAACATGAGTTCTCCCATAAGTTAGGAGATGGAATAAGCAAGCACATGAGAGGAAGACAGACATTGCTACAGCTTTGTTTATATTTAGCAGGAGAAAATGAAAGGATGTTTTGTTAACCATCATATACTGTTTAAAGCTCATTCTACAAACATCTACTCCACCATGTGGTCTTCAGCAGCTAATGCTGGTCTGTCCACTCTGCCTTTGTTTTATGAAATTGTATTTTGTGAACTCTTTTAGAGATATAGTTTTATGTAAGGAAAATGGTTGGCTGAAAAAGTCCCGGTGTATGTAAATAGTAAATAAAGAGGTGGCACAATAACAAGAAATTAGGTGTGAATTTAACCTGAGCAAGTAACAACATGAACATCTGTCAAGTAAAGTTGGGCAAGATCTTCTTGACCCACTACAAGGCCAGATTCTCCACCTTGAAAATTCATTTTGGTAACTCATCCCAATTCATCTGAATTCTAGCATGTTATTTCAGAAGTTTGTAGCCTTGAATTCCCATGATCTAGCCTGAAAAAAATGACTGTTTTGGGTTTGGTACTTTTCCAAAACAGAGTATAATAGGATCTGCAGGAAATTTAGAATATTTTAAATAGAGATATCATGCCAAATTGAATAAAAGTCAATGCAGGACATTTGAGCTACATCCTTTTACATTTTTTAAAAATCCATATAACATTTTTGTTTCAACAGAACAGAATGAAATCTACAGGGGAAGTGTATTTTTTTAAACTGACAAAAATTACTGAGTAGATTGGAATTAACTACTTGGGGTAGACTCTGGGGAGATTAATTCATTATACGAATCTCCTAATTTCTTCACATAATTCTTTATGTAAAAAGAAAGCATTGTTCTTAAGACAGCCAGATGGTAAGACTTCCACAAAACGTCTTACAACTTCTAAGTGAATGCAGTGGAAAACAATAAGACAAAGAAAAGGCTCAAATTTTAAAATCACTCTTTTTGATGGGCAGTGCCTTCTTTTCTCTATAACACAACTACGTTTCTGAACTGCATATCAGACCAGAGCTTATAAAGGAGAGGACTTTGAACCAAGAACAGGACAAATGAATTATGAAATATTCTATTTCTCCAGTGGCCTTCATAATGGCGCTGCCTTATTCACAGATTATTCAGAAATGTATAGGGCTTGTAAATGTGAGCTCTAGACGTAGTGATTGGGGGACATGATTATATGATACAAATTAATGGAACTGAGTTTCAGCTCTGGTTTCACTTGTCTGGAAGGTATTACTACTTTGATATGGCCCAATAGGCAGGCATCTTGTGACCTTCCTATCCTCGAATAACATATAATTTACTAATGACTGGTAGAAATTCAAAGAGATCATGCAAAATGCATATTGTTTCAGAGAGTGAATGTCGAGATAAACCCTGCTCTGAAGTGTCCAATGTCCCTGCAATTAATAGCTTCCGAAAAGGCTATTACGAATAATAGATTGATGTTTTAATGAAGAAAATTCTGTACATAGTCTTTTAGGTATTATTTTATTTTATTTTATTCCATCCAGTGTCTTTTGCTATTATAAGTTATACATTTATCACCCTTCCGGCAGAACTCATGCCTCGAAATAAAGCAATATACAGTTTTGTCCCCTTCATAGAATATGGGGGTGTCTTCCCTCCTCCCTCTGCTTATTTAGTTTCAAATTCCAAGCCTTCACACTGCTACCGTTGTGATTTGTACTTGTGGGGGTTTTGTGGGATATTATCTACGCATTCACCAAGTACTGATCCAATGAACTGGCATTTCCTCACAAAGCAGATGAAGAGTCTGTACAGTTCTTTTTGTAATAAATCATGGCCGTGAAAAAGGATTTCTTTAAGTCCTTTAGTCCATTCTTGTCCATCTCACTCACCTTCAGGGACTAGGTCTATAAGAAACTCCTAAGGCATATAGTAGGTAGTCGAAATAAAAAGGCAGGGGAATCAAAAGAAGAAAAGTCAGAGGTTCCAGTGATTTTCTGTTGATTGAATACTCTTGAAAGCAAGGCAGGATAGTAAGAAAAATAAGCAAACGAAAAATAAATCACATCTTCAGGCATGTTATTAGATCAACAATAGCAAGCAGCTGAGGGCCCTTTCAAGAGAAAATGATACCTAGAGAGCGGAGTATAAGAATTGCTTCTTACAGGGCATTTTATACATAAGTGCAGAGTGTACATGCACCCTGTCACTATACAAGATTGTTTCAGATGTAACTTTTGCAGTCATAGGTTCAGCTCTTCTTCAGTGTTCATTTATAACAATCTTAAAGGAATCTTACATCTGAAACAACAACTTTCATACTGTCACACTTGTACAATCAATTTGTGCCTATGCAGGGTAGAAATAGACTTAAGGAGCTTGAGGGCTGCATGGATATAAATCTATAGTTTTACATGGGCTGATCATATCTTCTCTTAGTCTTGAGTATTAATAGATTCCCTCCTAAAATTCCAGTCACCAATCTGTGTTAGATGAGTAGAAGCCAGACATTTCTAGTAAGAGACCATAGTACTCTTTGCCAATGCCATATTTTGGCTGCAAAAATTCATATGGCCACTAAATAGCAGTAAAGAGACAAAGATTCTATACCTATTGCCATCCAGTGGTCAACTGGATTTTTGCAGCTGTAGCATTTATTCTCTGCATTTTGGAGTGGCCTTGTATCTACTATAGTTTCTGACCTGGGAATACAGTAAACAGTAGTGCAATGCTGGAGGGTCAAAGCTTCTATGTTGATATAGCTGGGGTTGACTTCCAACTTCTATCCAGAATTATGGATTATTACCCCAGTGTTATAGGTTGGCCATTGATATTTAAACAATAAAATTTTCTACATGTATTAAAGTAAATATATCAATTCACTGTGGCTTCCTCTCTGGTAAGTAGGTTTAATACTGCAGCTTAAGGTTAAGCGATTTAATGAGGTAGAAGTTGTTTTATAAACTATCTTCCATTCAGAAGGTCTATCTTAATTGTTCTGTGGATTACAAACTGTTTAATTTTTCTTTTAATATTGCTCTGTATTCACCATTTTCTGCTTCTAGCTGGGCAATATGTTGATTTATTCTCTCTTATTCCTGCATCAGTTTGTGGGATTCGCTCCACTTTTTTTCATTTATATTTTATACTAGCTGTACCCAGATGGTGCTGTTTTTCAAAAAAAGCATGTTTTTACCTGTCACAGGTGTGACATCTATATAATATAGGTATATAAAAACACGCACGTATTCGAATGCAACGTTGTGTCAAAATTTCAAAGCAATCGGTGAAGAACTTTTGGAGATTTAAGATTTTGAACAAACGAACATTTACATTTTTATTTATATAGATAATATAATAGGACGACAATCAGAGAGGTCTACACATCTGCTAAGTCAAGATTAAACAATGTTAATGGATTTTTGCAATTTGTAATTTGTAAACCATAATTTATAGCTTAATGATTCCAGTCATTAGGGCTGAATTGACCAAGAGTGGCGAGCATAGGGTATGACACAGTCAGCTTTGCACTACATCATGTACAATATATTGGGAACTGATTTCCTGATCTTTGTTTTCATAGGTGTTCCTTGATGGGCTTTGATTTAAATCGGCACTGGGTAGATCCCTCTCCTTGGGCTCATCCTACACTATACGGTATAAAGCAGCTAATTATTCAGATGCACAGCAATCCGGTGAGTGAACAGTGAAAATATAAAATAACTTCCCTTTTTTTCACCAATTGACAAATGTTGATTTAAGGTTACTCTCAGAGTTTGTGACAAATATTCTGGATTTTTTTTTATTGAACATGTTTCTATAGAAGCCTGCTTTTGCAAAAGCTGCTTTTTTGTCTTTCCTGAGTCTTTCCATTATCATTTTCATCCCCCTTTTTCCCACAAGGAAACCAGGCTCCTTTGAGTCAAGCTTGCCTTTTGTGATTTCATGGACCCATCAATTTATTTTCTTGGCAATAATATTCACGTGATTTGCCATCACCTTTTTTTTTCATTTTTTAAAAAAAAATTCAGTGTACATCTATGGGATTTGCTTATGGTCTCCCACTTGGGTACTAACCAGTTCAGACCCTGCATAGCTGCTCAAGATTATCCAAGATAGGCTAGATGTTTCCCCTGTTCCAGGCCAAAACAACCTAAAAACTAGGGAGTGCAACAGTTGACAACCAAGCTCAATTAAAAGGCAGACCAAAGGCAGCCTGGTGTTGGGGCACTTGTTATCTTACAGATACCCAAGAGGACAAACAAGTCTTCCTTGTTTAAAACAAGGCAGCCAGGGAGAGCAGTTGTCCTCGTGGGATGCACAAGCTTTTCAGGTGGAAAGCTACATTTCCTTGGCTAAAAACTTGTTGAGGCTGACCCCACAAAGAGGACATGTCAGGATAAAAAAAATTAGTTGAACCACAATTAAAAAAAAGAATTTTGTCTTAATTTATTTAAATTAATTAAATTTATAGATGATAACTCCCCATGTATTTCAAGCTTTCCCTCTTTATCACACGAAATGTACATTCAGCAGCAAATTGTTGAGGACTGCTTGGGATCCCAAAGCTACAGCTGATGAACTTCTGAACCAGTTCCATGTTCCATACATCAGATGACATCTTTGTGATAAATTCACAAATATGCAAGATTCCGCAAGAATATTTGTTATGCATCATATCCCAATATTGGTTATACTAATATTCTCACAATTTTAGGGGCACCACCTTCAATAGCAATAGCAATAGCACTTAGACTTATATACTGCTTCATAGTGCTTTACAGCCCTCTTTAAGTATTTTACAGAGTCAGCAGAGTCAGGATCCTGACAATCTGGGTCCTCATTTTACCAACCTCAGAAGGATGGAAGGCTGAGTCAAAGCTTGAGCCAAACTCCTGGTGTGAACAATGAGTTAGCCTGCAGTGCTGCATTCTAACCACTGCACCACAACAGTTCTTCATAATTATCAAATCATATTTCAGCAAGTGTTGGAAACTAACTTAGTCAGCCTGAGAATACATACATAAGGACATCAGTTAATGCATGATCTGAATTCAACATAATTGATTTAATAATATTCTAATTGTAGTGGGCACAGGGTCACTGCAAGAGTAATAGCCTTAGTGATACAATATCAAAGAATGTTATTTAGTGTATGTTAAGGGAGCATTGCTATATGAAATTTAAAGCTGAAGAGAAATGGCATTTGCAAATGTTATGTAAACAGCTACAGATGTTACTCATTCACACATACAACATACAGTTGCTGCTAATCTAGGAAGATGGATTAAGGAAAGAGGAAGAGTAGAAGACAGACATTTATTGAATAAGTGGCATCAAAGTCCAAAAGGTTTATTGAGTATATCAGGGCTTTTCAACCTTTTCACCCATTGTGCCACTTTTAGGATATGGCAACATCCGAGTACCACAGTCACCTAGCAAGGTGTCAAAAACTTGATGACCAAAAAAAAAAAAAAAAAAGGAAAAAAGTGATAAAGTATAGGTAGTCCTCGACTTACAACAATTCACTTAGTGACTGTTCGAAGTTACAATGGCACTGAAAAAGTGCCCCCCAAGTTACAGCCAAGCAAGACACCTGCCTGCCCGCCCGGCCACGCTCTTCCTCCTGTCCGAGGTTTTCATTGTTCTGAGCATTTCTGTAGAGGATTGGCAGCGGGGATGGGGTGGGGGGTTGTTTGGTTTTTATTCCCCCCCCATCTGCTGGGTGGTTGCAGCAGGTTTTGATCACTTCACATGACCCTGGGACAATGTAATTGTCATAAATATGAATCAGTTGCCAAGCATCTGAATGTAAATTACAAGACCCTGGAGATGCTGCAACATTCCAGCTGATGGGGGTTCTTCTGGGCTCAGCAGAAGTGCCAGGATCAGCGCCGAGCGCCAGCTGGAGCCTGGCGCTGATCCTGGTGCTTCTGCTGAGCTCTGACAGCCCTGCAGCTCCAGCCATCTCTCACTCAGGCTTGTGCGGTGCTGCCACCGGTTCAGCTCATTCCCCTTCCCCACTACCACTTTTCTAGGATGGTCACATACCACCTGCCAGGTGCCAATGTACCACAGGTGGTACCCGTTGAAAAGCCCTGGAGTATATGACCTAAGAAAACCCTCTTAGTGCAAAAAGAAGTGGATCGGAAAATATAAAATAAATAACAGTATTTTACTAAAGAAGGTATTTGGATTTTATAGAAGGCTCTTGTTGAGTAAAACTCTTGATACTCCATCTCTCAGTGACAGCTTTTCCTTTCAGGGAATGATAGCATATTGAAGCACATGTTGCTATTCCATTTTTTCATGTGTATGTGTCTGTGCTAGATATTACTGCATCTGATTATACATACACACATTGTAAGTAAACAAACACATATGGTTAGTTTTGTGGCTGTTCCAGAAATAGAGATTGCTGTTTATTGTTAAGCTAGCAGAGCTGCAGTGCAACTTTCTCTCAACCTGCTGGAATCGTATTTATTCCTGGCCAGGTAACAAACTGAAGTATCATGCAAATGGCTCTGTTTTTGCTGGGAATAAGAGAGTCAGGAAGAAAGAGACAAGCAGGGATTAAAGAATAAGAGCTGGAGCAAATATGTGGCTAGCATGAAGGGCATAGGCATCTGGGGAAATTTTTAAAAAAGTCAAGATGGCAACCATAACCATATATTCAAAGAATCAGAACTTCAGTCTATGGTTGTGAGAACCAACTTGATTTTATTGACCCTCTCCACAGAGGTCCCTGATTAAGAAGAACAATAAATGAAATGAAGCAGAGTATGGATGACAAAAGTGCATTGTTTTTGTCAGGCCAAGGAGCAGAGATTGCATGGTGTTCCAAGGATCACATTTCCCTAAATTGTGGCGCATTGTTTATGTTTAAATGTAATTAATAGAATCAAGATCACATGAAGCGTTAATACCACTTTATAACGCCTCGGTAAGGCCACACTTGGAATACTGCATCCAGTTTTGGTCACCATGATGTAAGAAAGATGTTGAGACTCTAGAAAGAGTGCAGAGAAGAGCAACAAAGATGATCATTGGGCTTATGCTTTGCAGGGGGTTTGTCTGTCTCTCTGTCTCTGTGTCTGTGTGTTGAATTAATAAAGACTCAGGTTATGTGTCCTTCTGTTCAAGATCTTATGAGTTTTGGGGTAGATCTCCGTCAAGACTGTGGTCAGGGGTAGAATATTTCACTACTATTGTTAAAGTCTTAAGCAAGATCAGTTGAAAACAGGTCTAAGAAGAAATGTTTCACACTTCAATCTTATGTATATATTGTCTTCTAAGGAAGAACCACTGGATTCAGTGGAACTTGTTCCCAGATAGCCAGGAGCTGGATTGCTATTTCAATGTCTCATTAGTTATACCAAGGATTGAAAACGTTATTCACTGAATGTATCTAATTAACACAACTTGCGTGAATACATGTTCAGGCCTGACTGCAGTGGGATAAATATCCTGTGTAAACATTGCTGGATCACTTTCCAAACAGTAAGTGATTTGTCTGTGTTATGGAGTGTAATCTTTTATTTTCAGAATAAAATTAATGGTGAAACCCTAGGGAACAAGTAAATCTCAACAAAATTATGCAGATACTGTAGATTTATTTTAGCTAAGCTAGCTGAAATGCAGCTTTTTCTCTACTTAACATATTTTCCATTAAACATTACATGGCCCACCCTGGGCCTAGGTTTTCCCACACAGAGATTTTCCTAATATGAAAGGTCTGCCTTCACCAGGAGAGAAGTTGATCCTATTTGGTTCTTTCCCCTGCATTCTCCATTCCTAGTTTTTCCCTGGCATCTTCTTTCATTCTGAGAAATGCTTTCTGTCACAGGTCTCCCCTCACCCACCCAATTTCCTGACACTCTCTGCTTGTGTCTTCCTGTTTTCATGCCAAGATTCAGTGTCATGATAACAAATCATCAGGAAAAGAATTTTAATCCACTAGACTCTTGCCAAACCATTTAAAAAACTTCCGTTTCATTATTTTTGAATTCCTGTGACTTTGCAAAACTTCTAGTTTGGAGCAAGTGTTCATGTTCTTTGTTTCAGGTTGGGTACTTACTTCTATCTGCACAAGATGGCTCTACAGTATTTTTTATTGGGCATTATGAGAGACATAAAGTGAAATGCAAATAGAAAGCAGGCAAAGTGTAGTATTTGTAAAGTGGAAGATGCCAGAGAAAGATGACCACACAGGCTGCTAGCACATCATATTCTATAGGCCTCCTTATGTATGTCTCCTGAAAAATTCATAATTTTTGTTTATTTACTATGGAAACATACCTTTCAGGGTTTGAGTATATTCAGTGCTGGTAGGATATCTTATAGTTGATTCACAGACTTCATATGTGCAGAATAGAATGCCTCCTGTTATGTTTGTATGCTCTTTAACTCCACCCAATATTTGCTAACATCTGGGCTTATATCCAATATGTCTGTTTTACGTTTTCCATCATCTCTGTCATGGGATAAGGTATGCTTAAAAGATTCATTCATAGTCATCTGAATATCAAAAATATAAATTCACAGTAGTTATTGGCCATTAGAAGACATTTGTAACCTTTAAGTAGACATGATATACCCTAGTGCTTATTCTTTTTTTTGCACATTGATGGTATGCAGCTTCATACAACCTGAATGGAATCCAAACAATTACACGAAACATTAGACATGTTATATT